TAAGATACAACAATTACGGCTGCTATTGTGGCTTCGGAGGGAAGGGGACCCCCCGAGATGGAGTGGATGCGTAGGAATCAGACATTACACATCATTGTTTTCAGTTTTTGAAATAGAAGGGAACTTGACATTGTCTCAAACATGCTCTCTCCTCCCGATCCATTTGCAGGTGCTGCCAAATTCACGATAAATGCTATAAAAATAGCAGAAAGATTCCTGGATGCGGGGATGTTGAAAACCTTCCTTACATTATTGATTTCGATTTTACCTGCAATAATCAAAGAGTGACCTGCTCAGGTAACACTGTCACTAAGTCTTAGTAAACAGGCTTACAAACAGACACATTTTGGGCAAAAGAAATAGTTAAATTCTAATGTTCTGGGTTTTAAAAAATGTATTTAAATCACAAATTTCCAACTGTCCATGTATGTCTGGAACCACGCCACCTTTGTAATGTTTAAATGCGTTAGATGTTTAGCTATTACTGTGAAGTTGTGTATTCATGTGCTGACGCGGCTCTTTCTCTGCAGCGGCCAACAAAACGTGTCAAGCTGCTGTGTGCGAGTGCGATCGTGCTGCGGCTCACTGCTTTGCGCAGAATACATACAACCCAGAAAACAAGAACCTGGATCAGTCAGTTTACTGTGTCAACTGATCACATCACCCACCACAGATGAAAGAGTGATTTGTCACTTTTCAATACTCACTATTTCCCGTTTGTAAGCACTTATGACACAGCTGACTGATTCTTTTAAGGTGTCAGTTTGAACACTGATCCACAAGTTTAACTGAAATATTTTCAACTTTTGATCCGATTACAAAATTGATTCTGCTGTCTTTAAACTGACATCAGGGTCTGGTTTCAGCAAAGCAACCGTACAACATACAATTGGCTTTTATTTCAAAAATGAGCTCAGATCTGTGGAGCCTTGTATAAGTGATCACTTATTTTTCCACTGACTGTGGAAAGTTGATTGGTTTTGATTAATTCATACAACCTCCAATTGTTGTTTATTAATGTACAAATGCCATTAATAAAGACAGCCATCGTCTAAAACATAACACTGCACAGCTGGTTCTTGATGGTCATCTAGCTCGAGCTCAGGATGAATGTGTGCACTCGCGTACTTGAACCTAAATTAATGGTGTCATCTAAAGGCTTTGCCTTGACAGAGGGCAGTAATACAGAGAGCTGCTGGACTATCATTTTAATCACCCTGTCTCAAGTCTTAGTATCAGTAAGTTATGCGGTAACAGCGGGACTGATGGGACTGCGCTTTTTCTCGCCAGCACAGTGGTCAAAAGAGTCACAACAAACTAAACCAACAGCTAACAGGAAAAAGAAATGCAGTGAGGAAAAGGAAACCAAAAGGTGTGATGGTCCTGGGTTTTCTGTTTTGGACTTTTTATTATTATTATTATTATTTAACATACCCTTTGGTTCTTAGTTTGACCAGTATTGTTTATTCCTGATGTGTATCATGTGCATCACAAGTCTTTGTTTTTTTGTTTCTTT